GTGTGCCTTCGCGTTCTTCTCTCCGGTGGAGATGCCGGGAGAACCAGCAACTCTCAAGGAGGCTTTGGAGAGTAGTGATGCTGAGGAGTGGAAGAAGGCCATGGAGAGTGAGCTGAAGAGCATCAAGGAGAATGACACGTTTGAATTGGTGGAGCTACCGGAGGGGCGTACGGCGATAACGTCCAAGTGGCTCTTCAAAATCAAGTCGGATGCCGACGGCAAGATCGAGCGCTACAAGTCTAGGCTTGTAGCCAAGGGGTACCAGCAGAAGGAGAAGGTCGACTTCAAGGAGCTGTTTGCCCCTGTGGTGAAGCCGACGACGCTGCGAACCCTATTCGCGGGAGCCGCCATGAAAGGATGGGTAGTAAAACAAATGGACATCGTAACGGCATTCCTTAACGGCATCCTTGAGGAGGAGATTTTTATGGCGCAGCCAGAGGGGTTTGATGATGGTAGTGGCAGAGTGTGGAAGCTGAAGCAGGCCCCTAGGCAATGGTACATGAAGCTGCGCGAAGTGTTGGAGGAGATCGGCTTCACTCCCTCAACGGCCGATCACTCCTTGTTCATGCTTGGCGAGGGGGAGCAGAGGAGCTTCATGGTGGTTTATGTGGATGACATTCTCATATTCTCACCCTCCTCTGACCTTGTGAAGGAGGTGATGCTGAAGCTGCATGACAAGTTCAAGTGCAAGTCCCTTGGTGACGTGAACTTCTACCTTGGGCTCCACATCGAACGAGACGTGGAGAAGCGGAGCATGCGAGTGCACCAACGGAAGTACCTGGAGGCATTGGCCGCCAACTTTGGCCAGAGTGAAGGTCATGTGGCTACTCCCTTTCCCTCTGGGTTCAAGTGTGTGAAGGGGCCAGAGGAGGAGAGCGTTGGAGAAGAAGAGGAGCGGCGCCGTTTTCACTCGTTGGTGGGCAGCCTCATGTATGTGGCGGTAAACACCCGATCGGACGTCGCGTTTGCTACCAGGCAGCTGGCTAGGGTTGTGCAATGCCCTAATGAGGAGCAGGTAGCAGCTGGAATGAGGGTGGCCAAGTATCTTGGCCAAACACCGACCATTGGGCTGCAATACTCGGCGGCGCCACAAAGGCGCCAAAAGGGCGCGGATGGTGTTGAGCCCGGGCGTTTGTTCCTCACCGCCTACTCGGATGCTTCATATGCATCGGAACCAGAGGACATGACAAGTGTGGGAGGCTTCATATGCTGTGTTGGTGGAGGCCCAACTGCTTGGGAGAGCAAGAAGCAGGTTGACCAAGCTTTGAGCTCGGTGGAGTCCGAGTACATGGCACTCTTCTGTGCCGTACGGGAGATTGTGTGGCAGCGGCGTTTGTTGGCTGAATTGGGGGAGGAGCAGCAAGGACCTACCCCACTCTACTGTGACAGCTAGGGTGCCATTGCTCTTGCTAAAAACCCTGTGTTGCATGGACTCACAAAGCACATGAGGGTAAAGTGGCATTGGACGAGGAGCATGGTGACCGCGGGTGAAGTTGAGTTGCGGTACGTGAAGACCACGGGGCAGCCGGCTGACATGATGACTAAGAGGCAGGTGGAGAAGCAGCATTGGAAGTGTTGCAAGCTGGCTGGGATGGCTCTGAACTGAGAGAGCAACATATCCTTAGGCCAACAATCGGAGGGGGAGTTTGTTGGTGCAACCCTACGGTTTGCACTCGGCTTGTTGTCCGTGTGCGTGCATGTGTGTGTGTATGGAATGGTATGAGGGCATGGGATAATGTATATTTCATGCTTACAATTGTGTATGAATGTTGAGTCATGATGTCGAGTGTGTGTGTCGAGTCAATAGCGAGTTATCGCTAGACGCGCGTTACGCTGTCGTTTGTGTCTCGCGCGCGGTTTTTATTTTGTCGTGCGCGGTTTCTATTTTGTCCCGTATCGAACGTTCGGCGTGTCGAAGGTGTGTGTAGAAGACCCATCAAGAACTCAAGGATGATTTTGTGATGAAGAGCCTGAGCCTTGGTGTCAAGCCTCAAGTGATTTTGAAGCTCGCCAAAAGGGTGCACCTCAAGATATTGAAGATAGTTACATTACTTTGTGTAGTGTAACATTTCACTTGGTGTAGGCCCTAGTGAAGGGTAGTTTCGAGACCCTTCGTGGTTGGGGACAGTGTGGCACTGTTCCACATCACTGTACCTCGGCTCTTGGGGTTTGTAGGAGTTGGGAGTCATTCCCAACTCGTAACTCTTCCTAACTCTTCCTATCTTGTGTTCTAAGACCATGTTGCTGCCATAGTGCCATTCGTTCAAACCGACGGTGTGTCGTCAGTTCTTAATGAAAGCGTGCGATCTAAATTGCCTATTGTAGGCGACGTTAAGGCGCTCCTTATCCAAGTTGAATGAAGTCATTTGGAGTTGTGAGCAGATCGCTATAAACGTTTGAAGCCGCTGTGATGAAATCGACTGTGCACTCTATCTTTCGTTTTAGGCACATTGGACCTACTGTGACTATAACACCACCTATAAAGTTAATATCTGCACTACAGCTAGAGCTACATGCAGGTATAAGAATATACTTCTGACATTCTGTTCTTAGCTCCAGTTGTGAGGTTGAGATCTACGCCATAGCCATGGCTGCACAGGAGTTACGCTGGCTCACCTACTTTCTTACTGACTTGGGAAAGCGGCCTCGTCCTCCTCCAGTTCTGTATGTAGACAACAAGGCCGCCATTGCATTGTGTCAGGAGCACAGACTAGAGCACAGATAGAAACACATCGCTCTGTGTTACTTCCGGGCTCGAGAGTTGCAGCAGCGTAGTCAGCTTCCTCTTGCTCACGTGACCACTCGGGCCAACATTGCTGATATATTCACCAAGGCTCTTCCGTCTGGTCATCATCAGCGCTTCTGTACTATGTTAGGCCTTGTGCATGTTTCATCTCAATTGCTCACTTGGTGACTTTGCTTGTACTGTGATCTATATTTATGCCTACATGCTTGCTCTTGCTAGGTAGTGATCACCGTACTATTGTTGCTGCATATATACCTCTGCATGTGACCTGGCCTTGTGGCCCTTTGCTTGTGCTTGAGTGTGTGGTGACGCTGTGATCCACCCCGAGCTTGATTTGCTTTTCTTGACTGGTCTTGTGACCCTTTGTTCTCCCCCATTTTGCCTATGGGGGTGTGTCAAACTATATATGTGTTAGTTCTGTGTATGCTATAGTGGGGTAGCCCATATGGGCAGGCCCTCAGATTTGTTTTTAGCCTGTATGATTCGTCAGACTAGTACACTGTTTTTGTTTGAAACTCTGAGAGTTGGCATAAAAAAAAGTCAGAAATTTCAGTTTCAGTTTTTGTCCGAAATCGATGTATTCAATGTTTTATCAGAAATGTATTCAATGTTTCATTCATCTATTACCAAAACGTGCAAGACTAAGGGGATTTCCGGGAGAACATGCTTCGACAGGGCAAATTTTTGTGTCAGGTTGAATCTTGTGGTGTGAAAGGGCGAACCTGCAATGTCAGGTGGAATCGTTCTGTGATTGGACGAAGAAGTTGCGCTCTGACGGCACAAATCTGTGGTGACAGGGCGATTTTTCTGTGATTGGGCGAAATTTTGTGCTGTAAAGCACGGATTTGCTGTGCCAATGCGATTCTGAGTTGGAAATGCAAATCTGCTGTGACCCGTGAAGTCCGAATCACCAGTCAAGATCATGTTTGTACTCTGAATGATCAGAGTACACTCTCGGAAAACTCTGAAATTTCAGAGTTAGCCTTAAAAAAAAGTCTGAAACTTTCAGAGTTGAGGCCCTAAAAAGTCTGAAATTTACAGAGTACACTGAAAAAAATATATGAAATATCAGAGTTTTTTGGCCAAATCAGTGAAAAAAGTCTGACTTCTGAGGGCCTGCATATGGGGTATAACCCGAAGTTAGGGTTAGTACTTCTACCCTCATTTCATTCAATGCAACCATCTCTGCTCGCTATCTTGACACCGCCTCCCTTCCAAATGCTGCCGTCCACAGCCAATAACGTAAATTAGTCAACCGTAGGAAGCAGGGAAGTAGTCGTCCACTGGCTTCGGACGAGTTTCCCGTCTGACGTGGAGCGCCTGCCGCGGGATCGCCTATGCCTTCGCTATTTGACTGACTCTTCAGCCATTGTACGTATTTCATGAATACTATAGGGTGACAGTGACACAAACGTGCAGGAGTTAGGTCGACCAAATAGGGGTGCAACATCGCCGCTACAGACCTACACGAGAGGGACCTTCACCAGTGATTGCATCTCTATCTATCTGAAGCAGTTGGGAGACCGGGTAAGCCAAGGAGACTGGGAGATGGGCGGCAGTCGAGCGAAATGCTGCCCGTCTCTGTCTGACGAGCAGCATTCGCGCGCATGGCGGAATGCGCCTGTCTGACGAGCAGCAGGCGCGAACTGCTCAGCGGGCGCGCAAACTGCTGTCTCTGTCTAATGGGCAACATGCCCGCGCATGGCGGAAATGCACAACCGCGTCAGTCTGGTGGGCAGCATTCGCGCGAAATGCGAATGGGCGTCAGTATTACGGGCAGCAGGCGCCTGAAAAGCCGACGTAGCAGACGCCGCGTCAGTATTAAGGGTCTGTCTGACGTGCAGTAGACGCTCGAATAGTTGCGCCTCGCTCAGCTGTCCGGTATCCCCAACAGTAACGTCACCATCCCCGAGTCCCACAACCGCATGCTCCCCTTTCACCATTCCCTGTTCCCCCATACCTTGTTCCCCCATTCCCTGCCCCCTTATTCCCTGTTCCCCCATTCCCTGCCCCCTCATTCCCTATTCCCCCATACCTTGTTCCCCCATACCCTGTTCCCCATTCCCTGCCTCCTCATTCCCTGTTCCCCCATACCTTGTTCCCCCATTCCCTGCCCCCTCATTCCCTGTTCCCCCATACCCTGTTCCTCCATTCCCTGCCCCCTCATTCCTTATTCCCCCATACCCAGCTCCCCCATTCCCTGTCCCCCAATTCCCGCACCCCCATTCCCTGTCCCCTTATTCCCTGCTCCCTTTTAGCCTTTCTCCCCCATTCCTGCTCCCCCATTCCCCGCTCCCCCATTCCCTGCCCCCCCATTCCCTGCTCCCCCATTCCCAATTCTCCCATTCCCTGTTCCCCCATTCCATGTCCGCCAATTCCCCGTCCCCCCATTCCCTGTTCCCCCATTCCATGTTCCCCGATCCCCTGCTCCCCCATTCCCTGCTCCCCCATTCCCTGCTCCTCCATTCCCTGCTCCCCCATTCCCTGTTTCCCTTTTGAGCCGCTCCCCCAATCCCTGTCCCCCAAATGCCTGCCCCTCCATTTCCCTGCTCCCCCATTCCCTATTTCCCTTTTGAGCCGCTCCCCCAATCCCTGTCCCCCAAATGCCTGCCCCTCCATTTCCCTGTTCCCCCATTCCCCCCTCCCCCATTCCATGTTCCCCATTCCCTGTCCCCCCATTCCCTGCTCCCCCATTCGCTGTCCCCCCATTCCCTGTCCCCCCATTCCTTGCTCCCCCATTCCCTGTTCCCCCATTCCCTGCTCCCCCATTCCTTGCTTCCCCATTCCCTGTCCCCCGATTCCCCGTCCCCCCATTCCCTGCTCCCCCATTCCCTGATCCCCCATTCCTTGCTCCCCCATTCCCTGTTCCCCCATTCCCTGCTCCCCCATTCCCTGCTCCCCTATTCCCTGCTCCCCCATTCCCTGCTCCCCAATTTCAAGTCCCCAGTTTCCATGTCCCCCAATTCCCTGAGTGGGAAATCCCTGCTCCCCCATTCCCATGTTGGACCCACATTCCCCGCCCACCAATTCCCCTCTCCCCCATTCCCCTCTCCCCCATTCCCCTCTCCCCCATTCCCTACTTCCCCATTCCCTATTCCCCCATTCTCTACTCCCCCATTCCCTGCTCCCCCATTCCGCCCTCCCCCATTCCCTAATTCCCCATACCCTGATCCCCCATTCCCTGATCCCTCACTCCCGGTACGCAATAGAATGTCACCTTTTATCCAGCATTCATGCATTCTTATGCTGCCTGATTCATTCTTCTGAAATCACTCTCACCTCCCACACCAACCCCCAGTTGCCTGTAGGAACCCCACTAAGATCACTCTCACCTCCTCAACTGACAGCGGTGGGGCGATAAGCTACGTTCGTAACAAGATCTTCTTGCCAGGTTAGGCCCGCAACTCAACTGCCTCTCATTGAGGTTTTAGTCGATCTCACTGACTACAGCCCTCTTGTTTGTAACACTGCCTTGTTCTTGCACTCAATGTCCAATCCTGGGTGTACACACAGTTCCAAACAAGTTTCAATTACACGAGCCATACTCATTCTCCCACTGCATCCTTTGTGATTCACTCACTACTGCCATGTTCCCCCATCCCCTGTACCTCCATCCCCCGCTCCCCCATCCCGTGCTCCCCCATTCCCTGCTCCCCCATTCCCTGCTCCCCCATTCCCTGTCCCCACATTCTCTGCTTGCCCATTCCCCGTCTCCCCATTCCCTGTTCCCCATCCCCCTTTCCCCCATCCCCTGCTCCCCCATTCCCTGCACCCGCATTCCCTGTTCCCCCATTCCCCACTCCCCAATTCCCTGTCCCCCGTTTCCCTGTCCTCCCATTTCCTGAGTGGGACATCCCTGCTCCCCCATTCCTTGCTCCCCCATTCCCTGTCCCCCCAATTCCCCCATCCCCCATTCCCTGATCCTTATTCCCTGATGGGGAAATCTCTGCCCCCCCATTCCCTGCTCCCCCATTCCCTGTCCCCACGTTCTCTACTCGCACATTCCCCGTTCCCCCATTCTCTGTTCCCCCGTCCCCTGCTCCCCCATTCCTTGCTCCCGCATTCCCTGTTCCCCCATTCCCTGTTCCCCCATTCCCTGTCCCCCCATTCCATGTTCCCCCATTCCCTGTCCCCCCATTCCCTGTCCCCCCATTCCATGTTCTCCCATGCCCTGTCCCCCCATTCCATGTTCCCCCACGCCCTGTTCCCCCATTCCATGTTCCCCCACGTCCTGTCCCCCCATTCCATGTTCCCCTACACCCTGTCCCCTCATTCCATGTTCTCCCATGCCATGTCCCCCCATTTCATGTTCCCCCATGCCCTGTCCCATACACTGCTAGAGTCATATTTCACCATGTGCTGCCTTCCCAATACAGTCAATGCTGCCATTCCTTTATGCTCACAGCTGCTTTTACATTACACTCACTGCCACCGGTTCATTACTCTTACTGCTGCCTATGCATGTAAAGCTCATTGGCCATTGTGTTCCACACACTGCAGACATAGAATTGGGCTATGTGCTGCCATTTCTGGGTCCTCTATGCTGTCATTTGTTGAATCTAGCAGCAGCCAGATGTTTGCACCTTGTGCTGCCATCCCATGACACTGTTGCCATTCTCAAACATTCACTGAACCTATAAAGTGATTGTAATGGGTTTGCTGCCACTCCATGACAAGTTTTTCTCTCAGCACAACCCCCATTTTCCTCCCCCCCCCTCCTATTGCCCATCATTTATTACACTACACAACAATAATTCCTACGTAGGGTTGGGCCAAGATGTCTGATACAGAGGGTGATGCCGGTACTTTGAACACCTCGGCGGGGTTGGCCCTGAATGGTATGCTAAACAAAAGGAAGCTTTCACTTGGCGGCCATTTGACTACACCATGGGCCATCCTACGATGCGGGTTAGCAAGTCTTATGGGTGGTGGCTCGGTTCCTCGGGACAGTGACATGGTACTTTTGTTAATAGAAGCCGCGCCAACTTTGGTGGAGCATCTACTGGAAGTTGCAAAAGGCGCAGGTATGAATCATTGTTGAGCTTCTATGGTGTGTCACATGTATTGGGGGCAGATTATGTGTTAAATTCATGTATGCTTGTGGTCAAGGGGTGCGGGGAGATGGCATCAGGGCAGTGTCTACGGCAGGAGTGGACGCAGCAACGCATGAACAGCGTCATTCGCTCAACTACCCCAATTATCAATCTCAAAGTCAATGACATCCGGCACCACCCACTGACTAATGAAGTGCTAAATGTCCCCCGGGTTGCAATGCTCGTAACGGCCATCACCACTTTCTGGATATAGTGAGCTGATCACGACATATATCAGCCAGGGCAATCGAACCTTTGCAAAAGGGTGGTCACCAAGCAAGCTGGAGTATGTGACATAGCAGCGGAAGCGATGATTTTTGGGCAGCAACGGTTGACCCATGCAACTGTTTGGGGTATTGCCCCCACATTAGACTCGTAATATGTTCTCAACTGTCGCCCTCCTATGTTGTTACTCACTCTCAGACGTCAACCCAAGCCACTCGGCACCCCATTGCTCAAGCACCGTAGCCTGCTTTGATACTTATTCTCAAATACACTCAGCCTCCAACACCAATCAAGGTGATGCACTTCAGGTTGTTGACCTGTGCGTCTGTGCACACGTCGGGCCATGACTGGCAGAGGGTGCGAAACAGAAGGGTGGTAGTCAGATGGGGGTGAGATGGAGGCAAAATGGAGTGGGCCAGGACAATGAAGAGCCCATACAGGATTCGGCACTATTAGAGGTGGGGTACATCGGGGAGAAGGGCGGCTGAAGTGGCTGTGGGAGAGAGTAAGGTGTCGACAATGGTGTAGGGTGGGGATTGAGGTGGGGAGCAAGGGGGACTGATGTGTGGAGCATGGGGGATTGAGGAGGGGAGCATCGTGGATTGAGGTGGGGAGCATGGGGGATTGAGGTGGGCAGCATGGGGGATTGAGGTGTGGAGCAGTGAATGCCCCACCAAGGCAGCAGAGAGCGCGTCGCTATGGCATCATTAGGGAATGTACGGAGAAGCCAGGTGTGTGTGTGTCAGAATGTTATATTTGTCTAGCCTGCAGTGGGGTACTCTATAGTGAGTACAGCCCAGATTAGGGTTTCCTATTTGTACTCAACTCCTTGCTAGTGCATACCCTCCTTTTTCTGTTCTAAACGTGTTATTCTAACATGCTATCAGAGTAGGTCGACCCTCCCTGGTCGATCCTGTGGGTGGGCCCACCACCTGCTTCCGCTGCTGTCCTGTCTGTCACGAACCCCGTGGCGCGCGACGTTTTTTCTTCCCGCCACGCGCTCGGGGCGCATGGCGGAGCGCGCAGCGGTTTTCTGCCCGCCGTGCTCCCCAAGGCGCACGGTGTCAGTTGCCAACTCGCGCAAACATACGGCGAACAGCTGCACGCCTCGGTTGAAGTGGCGAGCTATAGTGATAGCTTTGACGCACGAGGCTTGGATGCAGTCAGGTGTCCATGCAGGCAATTTAATTAGCCCCTTGTGCTTGCTATTGCTGCACAATCCCATTGTCTAGTCGATGACAAGGTTGTGCTGTCGCAGCCGATCACGTCCTAGTAGCATGTCGCAGCCATCCAGCGTCTTCGCGAGAAACTTCATGCTGAAGCCGAAATCGTCGCCGCAATCGATCCACACCGTCCGTGTTTCTTCCAAAATTGCCAGAGGCGCCCCATCCACGAGGCAAGCGTCAATTTTGGGCAGAAGCTTGTCAAGTTGCAGCTTGCTTTTTCTGCTGTTGCCAAGTTTAAGAGGATATGGCCGGCCCCTCCGTCGACAAACATTTTCAAGTATTTTTTTTAACAATTTGCCAATGACCAGCACATGGTGGTCCACATGATTATCCCTGTTATTTGGCCGAGTGCGATCAATTGCATGAATCCAAACTACGACTCGGTGGGGATGGTAAGGTTCGGGCGACAAAGCATAGTCAGTAAGGGTCCCATAGATTACTGACTGTTCCTATTTCCCTGCTCCTTCCTGTTGTCCCCCTTCGCCGGCATTCTCTCAGGGCAATCGCTCATGTAGTGACCCATCCTTCCACACTGGCAGCACTGTCCTTCAAAAAGGCTGCCGAGTGTATGAACTACGTTGATTGTGGCCCGTTGGGTCTGGCCACAATAACGGATATGATCGTAAAGTTTGGCATCCGAGCGCAGTGGGCGACGGAGCACCCGCCCCGTCCTGCATCTCCTCGACCGGTACGAAACATATGTGGCGTCGACGACGAGGTCGACGGCGGTGCACAAGTCAACCGCAACGATGGCACGAGGTAAAGAGGGGTGATCAAGGTTGACGGTGGCGAGTGCAGCGGTCGACGGCGGCTGCACGCAGCTCGCGGGCCGACGTCGATGGTCGAATTCGCTCTCCTCTACGAAGGGGTGGAGAGTTCTTAGCGACGACGCACGTGACGGCAGGGGGAATCGCACCAACGTATGGCTACTTCAAGTTTTTGCTGGACCGGATCACCGTCACATCTCTACAAGCTCGACAAGACCTTATCACCTGGAGGGAGGCAATAGAACCTCACCTGGAGGTCGCCGGCTGAAGGGCTTTGCCAATGGCACCGTGCACATTCCGCTCGAAAAAGATGTCGAGTTGCGCGGCTAGTTTCGTGCTGCTCACTTGCTCACCTTCGTGGGAGGATCTAGGATCGAGCTTAGAAAAGAGAATGTGAATTGAATCGAATCACCTGGGTACAACACGAGGCTATATATAGGCTCGACACAAGGCCCCGTAACCAGGTGTTACGTGGAGGTTCCACAGGTCGCGAAGCGTCCCAAACAGATCCTTCCCGAATTGGGTAGAAGGCAATTCGGTGGCAACCAAAAAGCCAGAACTCGGTGCACGCAACCTAGCTTGGTGCTATATCTATAATAAAATATAGGAAAGCACCTAGCCTAGGAAATCAAGCAATTCATGCATGCATATAATTATCCTATGCTAGAAATAGCATGATCAAGTAAAGGCAAGCAAGCATAGCTGGCATAAGCCGTCGTACTCTCACACGTCCCCCCCTCAAAGCTGGGTGGCGTGAGATACACCCTGCTTGACAAGATAGTCCTTGAGAGCATGGTGTGCGTTGCCCATATCAGCTTCTGCAACCCAACTGTCCTCACTGGGGTCGTATCCTTTCGAGCGTATCAAGAACTCGAGGGTCTTGCCGCCGCGGCACCGATGAGTGAGAACGCGCTCCACTTCGTTCTCGGGTTCATCCTAAATGAGAACAGCTGGTGGTGGTGGTAGTTGCCATCCCTGGAACTGTTGGTTGGGGTCCTTGTAGGGTTTCAATAGCTGAACATGGAAAGCGTTGTGAAGCTTCCATGTATCTGGTAAGCGCAAGCGGAATGTAACTGGTGTCACCTGTGCCTCAACGAGAAAAGGACCACAGAAGCGAGGCCGGAGTTTGGATGGGAGGTGAGACATGTTCAAGTTGCGTGTGTCAAGAAGCACCTAATCTCCGACTGCTACTGAGTGATCTCGTCGCTGGCGATCGGCATACTGCTTCTGGGAGGTCTGCATCGTGATGAGTCGTCGCTGATTCTTCTCCCATAGCTGCTGCATGGTGGTGACGAAGTCGTGTGCGGCTTGGACGTGTGCTGGCGTGGTTGGCTGCTGTGGTGTGAGTGGTTCCCGTCTGTAACACAAGAAGAAAGGAGTTTTCCCTGTGGCCGCATGTGACGCGTTGTTGTAAGCGAACTCTAGGGTTGGTAACTGTGTGTCCCAGTGGCTGACGACGTCTTTGCAAGCTGTGCGCAATAACTGTTCAACCACCTGATTGAGTCGCTCGGTCTGTCTGTCAGTCTGTTGGTGGTATGCTGAGGACATCGCAAGTTTAGTCCCCAAAATTCCCATGATCTCCTTCCAGAACTTACTCGTGAATTCGGGGTCTCTGTCTAAGATTAGTGTAGCGGGGATGCCGTGGATGGTGATGATGCGGTCGAAGAAGAGGCGAGCTGTAGCTGTGGCGTTGGTCATGATGAAGTGACCCACTTTGGAGAACTTATCGATCACCACAAGGATGAAATCATGTCCCCGTGATGTCGAAGGAAGTCCTGTGATGAAGTCAAGGCTAACGACCTGCCATGGCTGCTCCGGTACAGGTAGAGGCTGAAGTAACCCTGCTTTTTTCTGCTTCCTGCTCTTCATCCGCTGGCACGTGTCGCATGAGGTGACGATCTGCTGCACGTGTGCTGCCAT